AGAGTCTCTTTAATTTTGCAATGAAAGTCAGTTTTGCCGGACGCTAAAATGTCAAAATGATCCCGTTTTATGTTGTGACCAGTGGTTTTCATATGATCAGCAATGGCTGGTGAATGGTCACGTTTAGCGAGGGCAACCGAATGCGCCATGATGACATGCAACTTTCAGAGTACTCTCGAGTTCTCGCGCTATCTTTTGATTGGGTAATAAGACTCGGAAACTTTACGAGTGCATCATCGGAGATTTGAGAAATGGCACTCGTCTTCCTGTTTAACACCAGCTTTGGGCTAGAAACTTCGCTAAGATGTTTTTCACCATAAACATTGTTAATTTACACATCAAGTCCTTGATGATGTTTCATTGAGTGTTTTTCAAATGCTGAACACCTGCTTCTACCGTGGTTAATAACTACCACTGCTTCCTGGTTATTTGTGTACTGAAGCTTGTATGACGCACGTGCAAGGGTTATTTGTGATGGCCTGTTTTGTTCGAGGTTGTTTACCATTTACCTAAAAAATCCGGAAATTTCGGATGGAATGTAAAATGAAAGATTAGTTTTGTTTCTCTGAGCGGAAATTTTCTCGGGAAAACGGGATTTTTTGAAAGGTGGACCAAAATTCCCAAACGGAATTTCCGAAGTGAAAATGTGCGTTCCATTTGCTACAATCGTGGACAAACGTCCTTGGGACACTTATGTAATTTAACGAATTATGTGTGTTTTACTACTGAAGTTTGAAAAAAGCGCTGCTTTCCTTTTAAAAACGCGTTGCTCTTCCCCCGCCCCGCCCAATACAATGTTGAAAATCAGAGGATATTGCATGCAGGTAGTAGTTTTCAACATCGTATGGGGGGTGGGGGCCGAGGTTAGGCAGGTGAAGTTGTATTCGCGTCTGGCGTGTGCCCAAAAGCACCAACTGAAAAGTGAAAATTTGTCCCAAGACTTTTGTCCATGATTGTAGTTTTTACTAGTTCCAGGCCTTTTGGCTCGGATCGCCTTTGATCCTATCTTCCGGGAAAAAGTCGTTGAAATGGAACGAACGCATCCCCGTGGAAATTTCCATTCGGGATTTGACGCGTCCCATTTACTACAACTGTCGACCAAGCGGTTTTTCCGAGTAGATGATAAACAACCCAAGTTTCCAGGCACGCGTGGTTTGTGACGTAATAGGGTACGTGTAGTGGTTTAGGGTTTGATTTTTTTTGCTGTATTTTTCATTTCTAGATCGACAATGCGCTTTGTGAGTTCAGTCCTGTTTATAATTCGTTCAGACAAAAAGGAAGCATTTCATGTCTTCAGCTATTCATGATGAAAGATGGAACTTTTAGCGAACTGAGAAAATATCTTCTCCGTGTCAACCCTTCAGCAGCCAATCAGATTAAGATACCACGAGTTATCAAGTCCCAAGAAGCGCTTGATGTTCTTTTGAGAAATACAACATTTTAACATCATCCATGCACATTATTCCAGTTTTAGACCACACGGGAAATGTTTGTTGACAAGGGGTTTGTGTCCAGGTGATTAGGGAGTTTAAGAAAACCACGACTGCAACGGCAACGGGACCGTCTGTAAACAAAAGGTTTAATGAGCAGGACAATGGCTGTGCACGTGCGTTATAATTCTTGGCACATATCTTTGCCGTCCTCTGCAAAACAACAACGTGAAATGACCAAATTCTGCCTTGTCTCGAGAGCGTGAACCATAACGGCTAATTTTTTACATTTTTATTCCAAATTTATCGCTGTATCCCAGGTTTAGTTTCGTGATAGTTTTGACAGCGATAAACAAAGTAAATGGCTCTAGAGTATCGCGAGATGCGTGGGTAAAATATAAATTCATTTTTTAATAACGTTGTCCTCGGCGTCGCCGTTGTGGTTACTTAAAATCCCTAATATCTTCAGCTACTGAGAGATGTTCGGTTGAAATATTTGGCTATAGATGTTGCTATATGAGAATCAATTTCTTGACGTACAAAGGAATGTCGAAACGATATTTAGCACCCAATTCAAATGACAAAATCTTAGTGTCGCTTTTTCAGTATAATTGTAATTTATTATTCCACTATTGCGTCATTTAACTTATGGGGTTTTGACAACACACCAAGCATTGCGCGATATTTATTGAAATGTCGTATATTCCGTATTCTGTAGCTCCCTTTCGGAGTTAAATATGATAAGAAACCAACACAATTAAAGAAGTAACGTAACTATACCATAACATAATTTATGAAATTTGTGAGGTGTGTGTGTCTTAGCATATATCTGCTATTAATGTACATCGAGTATGTTGTTGTACCCATGCCTGCACTTGTGAATAAAGCGGTGATTCTTTCAGAAAATCCGTAAAACAATCGAATAAGCTGAATTGATTTTATTCCTTGCTTCCGAGTTATTTTCGCATTTCTAGATCGCTGTTCTACAAAATTAACCTTTTGAAGGTTTCCTACCTTTTGAAACTACTCTGGGTTTGTTTTCGAGGATTTTGAAATTTTGCTTAAACTAGCGATGGCAATATCCCCGAGCTAGTTTTTGTGAAAAATCATAACTATCTTTTAATTCATCGCTAGCGATCGCTTATAGAGAGCAAAAGCCGACAGATACTATACGTCTAGACCAAAAACAGATTAGCTTCAGGGAGCCTGTGCGCCTACGCGGCTGACTGTAAAAGCACCTTTAAATGACCTCATTTGAAGGCGTCTGGTGGAAACTTCTGTAGCAGCGACGTGAATCAGCATTTTAGCCTTTATCTTGAACATCCCAAATATAGTTTTCCTCAGTTTTCTGTTGAGCAATCCGTAAAGGATAGGGTTCAACACGGAACTCAGCTGCATGCAGAACGTGGACGTCATCCAGATCTCACGTGACATGTTACTATTTGTAAGGCTGGCGATTTTTAATATGCCTTGAGGCAGCCAGCAGATAGTGTATAAAGTTGTTACAGTAAAAACCTTCCTTGCGATGTGAGGTTCTTCGTTTCTGTTCGCAATTGTTCCACGCGTGCCAATCGCATATGGTCGACAGCTTGTCAGCGCCGCGCTCGCGGGAGTCACTCTTGAAGTTGAAGGGGAAGTCTTTTTATCGAAGAAGGAAAAAACTTGTTTTCGATGTAAGCGGACTAAGCTTAAAATCGCGTAGTTAAGATAGATCGTTGCAAGGAAGAAAATGTTCTCAAATACAACCATAACTACAGAACTTGCCGAATTCTTGCTTGAAATGACACAAAGGGATTCTTTAGCGTGAAATGTCGCTTCGTCTTGTTCCATTATCGGAGATAAGGCGAGGAGACACGATGAGATCCAAATCGCCACCAGAAACAAGCGAGTTGAGCGTTTAGTAAACATGTTGGTGTACTTTTTGTATCTGACGATGATCAGGTATCGGTTTAAAGTTATGAAGGTTACACTTAGAGTTTTGGTTGTGAATAGAAAAGAGTTTAAAATCGCTTGGTATTTACAAGCTTCTTGTCCCAAGCACCAAGCTCCCTGAATCAGCACCGATGCTAGCAGAGGGTGTGTCGTTATGGCAGAAAGGACATCCACGATCGATAAATTGACCACGAGTATATTTGGAATAGTTCTTAATGACTTGAGATGGAAAAACGCCGCGATAATCAAAGTGTTTTCAAGTATTGATAAAATCGTGAACAGGACAACAATTATTGACTCCAACGCGGCGGTCCCGGGAGATCGATATGGCAGGTCGAATCCCCCAGCAGTTTTTTCCATCCTCAAGCTTTTCGTTGCCTTTTTTGTTCGTTCCTGGGATTTACAAAACCGCGACTTGTTATGTGAGGTTTTTCCTCGTTTTGTTATTTGCTAAGCAGCGTACGACGTTGGTGCATTTGTCACTCCGTGCTGCACACTATAGATTTCCCGGTTGCAGAGACTTTGCGCCGTGGAAGAGAGAAGTTGTATATTTTCTGGAATAATTCATTTTCTCTGGATCTGTTTCCCCGCCTGTTCCATCCAAATAACCTCATGTAGTTTTTACAGGCTCAGGCACAGTTGCACGCGTGTGTTCTCACCAAATTTATACACTGACTACCTTTAGAATAAAGAAGGTTTGTGTTTTGCTCTTGTCGCTCGCAAGGTGTACCTTCGTTTGAGACGTTTTAATTTATAAGCACTTTCAGACGGATACATATATATGTTTAATGTCTCCCACGTAGGCTTTTAATGAAGGCTAGCCGGATTCTAATCTCGCCGTATTGTGAGTGTTATTTAGAGTTGAAATTATTTCCTCATGTTATATCTTATAGAACCTCACTCTCTATAAATGGTGGCAATGTTTAAAAGACCCGTTTAAGAAACAAGAAAAAACAGGGTTGTTTCCATTTAACACATCTAGTTAAAAAACGAAAAATATCATTTTGCGAAAATGAATTAGTGTGAACAATTTCATTTTCGATGTGTTTTCGATACAAAAGAAAATACAGGCTGAAATAGAGGTTTAACGTTTCCGCTTTGGTGACACAAAACGTCCTAATTACGTCCAGAACGCACTATAAATCTAAGCCGCTTCCTAAGAAAGATTTGTATGAGCCGTTTTGCCCGTACTAAGACCTACTAAACCGGGCAGACTGGGGCGAGGCCGCAATTAGGCCATGCCCGAGTTTTCTTTTGCCTCTGTTTCGAAACGAGTCTCCGTGCGAAACCATTCATTTGAGAATGTATTCGGCCGAAAGGTTTATTCTCATGTAAATCAAATTCATTTTCAAATGAAAGACTCGTTTTGAAGCAGAGGCACAAGGTAACCCGGAA